CCACAGTGTCCATTGTATAGGAAGCTGGGTGGGTCCCAGGGCCAGTCTGGATGTTACGGAGTAAAAAAAATCTCTTGCTTCTTCCGGGAATTGAATTCCCGTCGTGAAGTCCGTAGTCTGTGCCGAACATTTCTCACAAAACGGATCATCGTACTAAAGGTACGAGGCCTACATGGGATAAATTAATTTCATTAAGTGCAACTTTTATTAGAACAAAGGTAATTTGATCACCCGTTCAATTAAGCACCATACTATGAAGACATGTGGGGGAGTGGAGGTATAGCTCTACGCATTCTTAACCTCTTTAATGGGAGGAGGTGAGTGGTCAGCTTCACGTCGCGGTCGCTTTAGCCCCAGGAAAGGAACTCCTGTTATCCATTCAGTAGGAGATTAGGGGGGCTCCAGAGTCTGTGTGGGCGCTGTGAGGAGCAGAGAAAGCTCTCGCCCCTGTACCGAATGTAATCTTGACCGGGCGTCCAGCCCGTTGCCAAATCTTTATAACGACTGTGCTAACACGGTTCCAACATTTTTTCGATATGACAAGTATACAACGAAATGTAGGGGGAAATAAGTTCGGACCTTGTGCAATCGGCATTAGCTTTGGAATAAGGTAAAAGGCAAAGCTGTTCCTGTGCTTAATGAATTAAGCACTATGCCGTGAAGGCATATGGGGGAGTGGAAGTATAGCTCCATCTTTTAAAATTTCGGCACAATATGGAAATGAGTAGTCAGCTCTACTCCCCGGCCGTTTTCCACCGGTACCCATTGGGTAGGAGGCTGGATGGGCCCCATACCTGGTCTGAACGCTGTGGAGTAGATACAATTTTTTTGGCCCTGTTGGGAATCGAACCCCGGCCATCCTGCCCGTATCCGTCTCTGTACCGACTGAGATATTCGGTTCCCGATTAGCTTCGGTATATCCATATTATACCCTTAATAAATAAATGTCAGAACAAATGAGGTATTCAAAATAGCAAAGAGCGTACTTGGAGAATACGAGTAGCATGTAATTTCTCCGCCACAGTAGGCTTGCATCACTCCACTGTGTTTTCTTCAAGATTTGAATGACGCGATTACAGAGCTCACATTGTACAAGCGTTTTATCGGAGGTTTCATATATGCTTTAAAGTTTAATGGCGGCTATAAAATAAGACATTAAGTCTTAACATACAACTGCTCACGTCCCCTTAGCGTGATGCTGTCGCATGTTAGTGATTAGACACGGGGTTTGAATACAAGTACTTAAACGGTCTCACTAAATCGCGCACTCTACTTCTTACTACTTCACACGCTAAGCCTTCTTGTTTTCAGTAGCCGTTGCCTGGTTAAGGGTCCTAACAAATCTTCTGCTTACGTCCTTACCGACTGGCGGCTGTCTCATAACTAGTCTTCAACTGGCCACTCACTGGCTATGACTAACTCATAGCGGCAACTAATTCATGACGGCGATTGGCCGTCTATAAAGTCAAAGTCAAAGTTACTTTACGACTGGCGGTTTACTGCCAATCAGTTCATCTTGGCGCCAAGCCCCTTGAGACTCACGACCAGAGATTTTTTTTCTTTAATTTGAACTCTTGCGGTAATATTCCTGTGTAACATCCTCTCTGACGAGAAGATGGGTTTGTCTCTTATGAGTATGCTCGGCCTTTCGTCAAGTGTACATATCACACATATAGCATGTTATTAAAAAATTATTCCTTTTGTACTATACACAAGTCTTCTGTCAGTAAATTCTTTACAGAGCAGATCATGCCCATCTTACGTGTCTTATGCTACAACGGCACATTAGTCAGTTGAACGGTCGTAAGCTTGACCACAACCAAGTTTAAGTCTCTGATATTTTTATGTCTGGCTTCACCTTGTCCGATACCGCGAACATGTACATTATCATAATTTTGGATGACTTCTGCTTGTTGCCTGCACAATTTTGTTATATAATCGTATTCATAAGGAAGATTGAAAGCCGTGTGCAAATCGCGGACCGGTGTGTGCCCTGGAAAATTTCCAATGGAGCGCAGAACCTTCTTTTGCAGATGCTGCATGCCGCTAATTCCCAGGCGGGACAAGCGTAAGGCATTACTGACCTCATCAGTGCCTTATGGAGGGTTAGTTTAATGTTGGCGCTTAAACGTTCGCTGATGAATAGGGAGTAGTCGCTAATAAATGTTTCGAAGGCCTTGGCTTCAATCAATTCTATGTGCAGTCTCCATGTAATCCTCTTATCGAATATTACACCGAGATATTTTACATGATTGACAAAGGAGATATACCGTCCATTCAATGTAAGATGAGCATCAGGGGGCCTATTTCTATGTCTGACCGTCTACACGACTGACGGTCAGCCTGCCAGTCTGTCTTGGAATAAAGCATCCATCTGGGACTTAAGACCAGATCCTTATAACTGCTAGACACTTGCAGGTTTGTTGATGTGGGGCGGTGTCTCTGACGAGAGGACTGGTCTGTCCTCTTCAACTACTGCTGGCCCTTGCCAAAGCAGTCATTCTCGGGTTCAAGTCCCGTGAGACTCGCGACCATATTTTACTGTCTCAGATTCGAGATTTCTCTTTTCGACGCTTCCTACAACTCGGGGGTAATCGACCCCGCCTTCACGCGGGAATATCCGTCTACTCAA